AGAAGGCGAGGGCCTCTCCTGCTTGGGCGGGGGAACCCCAAGCCCGCGGGGCGTCTCACATGCTAGCCCGAGTTTAGCCCAGCGAGCTGTTTTGTGAGTCGTTAATTCTTTTCGTTTGGAAGACCTAATACTGAAGCAAATACGTGGTGGCTGTTCTGAATTTCAGAATCTCAAGATTCCTTTTGGTAGCAGCTTTCAGTGTTTGGCTTTCTGCTTTGAAAACAGCAGTTATGTGCACAGCAGATGGCCAGCGAGTATTTGAGTTGTGATTTTGGGGTCAGTGCAAAAACCCGAGGTCTGATAATGAAACAGGTACACCTTTGTGCCATGCTGTGTTTTCCCTTTTAGCCTTTTTGTTTGGTTTTTCGAGACAGGGTTTCTCTGTGTAACAGCCCTGGCTGTCCTGGAACTTACTTTGTAGATCAGGCTGGCCTCGAACTCATAGAGATCCTCCTGCCGCTGCCTTCCGAGTGCTTTTTACTCCCCGCCCCCACCCCCAGTGCTTTTATTTAGCTTTTAAAAACCATATCCTTGTATCCTAGAATAAAATAATCCTAAACTATGAACTATAAGTCTGATTAAAGTTCAAATAATGTTAAGATGTTATACAGGCCGAACTCGTCATCAAGTCAAAAGACTTAGTAGCACCCACACTGCAGGGTAGTAAAGGCCTGCTATTTGAAAGGCTTACCAGATAACTCAAGTGTAAAAGTTAACATAATTAAAGACAAAAAAAACAAGGCACAAATGTATATTCCAACTAATTTATTAAAACGCATTATTAACATTGTAGGATCTGTGCAACAAATTAGGACACACGCTGTATTCATAAGTCCAAAGAAGAGGAAACAGCACATTTGCTTGTCAGTGGCAGCTCACTGACTAGAACCGTAAGCTACAGTAGCCTGCAATCAGACTGAATTCTCACTGAAATGTTCTAGGCCAGTCAATACAATCCAAGATAGCAAAAAATGTCAGTAAGTTAATTTTGTCTAAATGACAGCTGTGAGCTTGTAATGAAAATATCTTTGAAGTATGATTCAAAGTGCAATAGTGTCTGATGAACTCTGAATTGTGGTTTTTGTGAACAGCACCCCAAGGCTGTGCAAGCCAGCATCCCACAATATCAATATCTACTAGTTAGGTTTCTGTAAGTAAACAATGAAGTAACTCTTAGGAGGACAGTTGCCTTTTTGAAGTCTGTATACAAAGGTTCAATGGAGGAGCTGACAGTTATCAAGTTCTTGTCCTGTCAAACTGAATATACAAATACACAAAAACTCAGATTCCAAAGTTTTCAACTATTTTTTTGTTGTTTTTTTGTTTTTTGTTTTTGTTTTTTTTTTTGAGATAGGGTTTCTCTGTGGCTTTGGAGGCTGTCCTGGAACTAGCTCGTCAATCAAGCTGGTCTCGAACTCCTAGATCTGCCTGCCTCTCTGCCTCCTGAATGCTGGGATTAAAGACATGCACCACCACCACCTGGCATTTCAACTATTGTAGGAAGTCTTTTAGACAGCTATTTGAAGCAGACAGCTTAGTATCATTTTTTACTAATTTGAATGCACTAAGTGTTGCTCCTCCCCACCCCACCTCACCCCATCCCCAGGGCTGGTCTCCCTGTCCCCAAACTCTCAATCCTCCTGCCTTAGCCTCCAGGGCGCTTGAATCACAGGCACATGCCATCATGCTTGGCCTGAAAACTTGTGGTTTTTATCTAGTACTTGATTTCAAGTGGTGTATGTGAATTTCTCATAGCAGTTTAAATTTGGCTACACAAGCATTACCTATTATATATAATTGCAATAAAATGTCCTGTTCAAATTGTAGTTGGCTCTTACTGTTCCACACACTGTTTTATTTTTGTTATCTTTTAGAACTTTAAAGCTTCATGACTTGGCCTTCTGACCTGACTGAATTCATTCAGAATCTCAGAAGGGGAGCCCAAGGTGAAGGGCTCCTGAGACAGATGGTTTTGGACTGGTTTAGAACACTGGGCAGACAATGCCCTGCTGCTGCCCCATTCTTGATGGTCTTAGCAACTCCCACTACATGATTCCCATTCCCTAGAAGACAAACTCCCACTAGCACAAATGTTAGCCTGGAAATCTACCGATTCCTCTTATTTCAGCCCTCTGAGATTGATAGATCCATTTCTGAAATATCTAAATACAATAAGGGCAGGAGGAGTGGAGGGAGACACATGACAAAACCAAAGTAGAATGGCGTGGCACCTCTGTAGTCAACTGTCTGCACAACTAACACTGTTAATTTTCTACCCCCCACTTTTTTTTTTGTTTTTTGAGACAGGGTTTTCTGTGTTTTCCAGGCTGGCCTTGAACTCAGAGAACTGTCTGCATCTGCCTCCTGGAATGCTGGGATTAAGGTACACACCACCACCACCTGGCAACAATTTTCTACTTATAACACAGGAAAAAGAAGGCCAAAGCCACTGTTACCTTTCATAAATGGACCACTTCTATCCAGAAACTGGCCTGCTCTACTGCAAGTACTCTAGTGCCAATTCCCAACTGAATAGCTCACTGCAAACAACAAACACTTCTACTTCAGACTGCCTCTTTAAATTCCCTGAGCACGCACACAAATGGCTGCAGTGTTGTGGAAGAATACTGTCAAGGAGCTGGTGACACTAAAGAGTGACACTTGGCACAGAAGCCAACATTAACGTTTACCAACTACAGAAGTCAGTCAACTTGGACACTAGCAACTACACCACTGTTGAGACCCACTTCTATCTGAAGCTGAAAGGATAAGAGAACAAGATTGTCATCACAAGAGCCATTGGCAATTTCCCTTTCAAGCCACATCTTATTTGACATCTACTTTTCCTTGTGGATACAGGAAATGGAACCATCCACTGCGACACAGAGTACTTCCCTTAAGAGGGACACTTTTGGTGGCATGTAGGTAATAACCAAGTCTTATTTATAATGGCCTTTTCTCATCTTCTAACTCTGCTTAGTACCACACTTCCTGGTACCTCTTGCCTCCTTGACAAATTAAATAAAGGCTTCAGTGTGGGGCAGAGACATCACAGCTTCCCTTGGTGCCTTTTTAAGGAACACAATCAAGAAGAACACAGAATCACATTATTTTCGAAGAAAAACTTTTGATAAAAAAGGGGCAATCAGAGCTGAAGTGTAACAAAGACGGTAATAGAAACATCACAAATTAAACCTGTTAAGTTTATCCATGACCCCAGCAAAAAGTCATAGAATTATTCTATGCATTTGCACCTCAATTAGTAATGGAAATTAAAATATGGAAGATGTTATATTGTTACTAATTAAACATCAACTTAATACGGCTTTTCCTCTAGCCTACTAGTTATCAACCCAGTCTCACAGGCATGTTTACATATATTGTGGGTCCATCCCTATACCACATGCCATTCAAATGCACGTTAAAGCAGTTTCCCCCCATGATTCAAGTCTTAGCACCGTTCCCTTTATTTCCTTGTATCAAGGGCTTGCTATGTAGCCTAGATGAGCCTCAAACTTAAGACTCTCTTGTTTCAGACTCCGTAGTGCTGGGATTCAAGGCATACGCCAGGATACTTGGCTGTCCCTTCTGAATTTTATTCATTTTTAAAAAGAGGTTTAGGGGTGTGTGTGTATGACATCATGGTATGCAGGTGCCCAGAGGCCAAAGAGTGCATTGAATCCCCTGGAACTGTAGTTATAGGTGGGCATGAACTGCCTGTTCTGGGCACTGGGAACTAAACTTGGCTCTTGCAATCACTGAGCCAGCTCTCCAGTCCCTCTTGAACTTTAATGTACTAACTGAACATAGGCTACTTCTACTTTTTAAAAATTTACAAAAAAAAAAAAATCCACTTCTGAAAAAAGTAAACAAAATAAAAAGCTGAAGCTACTGTCTGTATTTTGAAACTGAAGATCACTGGAAGAAAACCAATGACAGTGTTTAGTTTATTCCGAGACGAGAGACAGATGAGACATTCTGCAAGCTACCCAAGGGTAAGTTCAGAAGGATGTCTATGGAGCTATGCTGGTATTAAAGATGGATGCCACCACGCCTGGCTCGATACAGCTATTCTTAAAGTTTCCTTCACCAACACAAATAAAATGGTTTTCACTCCATTTACTCCAATGACACTAGTACAGGATGTGACTGAAAAGCTGGATCCAAGCTGAGAGATTGTGGAGGAATATTTTACCTAGAGTCCTCCAGCTTGACCGTAACTGGCTTTAATTTAGCAGGTCAAATTTATGCCTGAGAAGGACAAAGAAGTTAAAGAAACATTCCCTTTTGTAATAAAATCTTAACACTAAAACCTGACAATAGTGAAGGTCAAGAAGTTCAGGACAAGAGGGAATAATCTTCTAAGTTTAGTTCACACCTGACTCAATTTTGATTTGCTAGGTCACTCTTGTAAACAGTTTATAGGAAGGACTGGGTGGTTTGAAGCTGATACAGCAATTAAATATGTACAGGCCAGGCAAGTTCAGGACACAAGACTAGACGAAGTTGTTGTTTTGGAAAGATTTCGTAGGTAATTAAACCCTGCTTGGAGGCACAAATAAAATTTATTTCAGTGTTCAGTCAGGTACTTAACCACATGAAATGAGGGCTTACGTACAATAAATGTCATCTTGAGTGCACGAAACACCAGCGGTACTCCCATACTTACAGAAATGACCCATGTATAGCACTGTAACACCATCCAACAGCTACATGAACACCTATCTGCGTAGGTCAAATAGCACTGTGGTCACACTGATGAGGAAGTATTCTGGTAAAGTGCTCTATGAGAGCATTTCAATGGCAGCCCATCTGCTCTACAGATGCAGCTGACCATGAACACTCACGGAAGCCTCTGCAATACCTCACAGCTTCACTCACACAGACACAGCTCATTTCACATCAGTGAACACATCTTAAGAGTTCCCTTCCTTCCTTTCTTTTTTAAACAGTACTGACTTTGGGTAAAATAAAAGTTCCCTTATATACATATATACAAAGCCTAACCACTACTTTCTCAAAGTCTCTGGGTCTGGTTCTAGGACGTCTTTAGAGAGGAAAGCAAGCCGTTCACCTGCCTGCACTGCCACCACGTTATGAAGTAATGTGCTTTCAGGTGAGGAGAAGCTCGGGCTGCCACTACTGACTAGAGCATGTGCATGACCCTGGGTACTCCGAGTCAGTTTATCCGTCCTTGCCTTAGGATAACTCAGCCTAAGCTACACAGGAAATGTATTCAACCATTTACAAAAACAAGTCTTACATGCACTTTACATTTAAAATTGTGTGTACATTCTTCAACTAGATGAGTACACACTAAAAAATATTGCCCCCAACATAAAAAATATATATTATTTCTTTCCTTTGTCATTTATGTATATAAATATTTTACTGAAGATGCATCATTCAAATAAACAAATGCAAAAATTGCTTTATATAAAGTGTAGTTCTCTGCTATTTAGCAATATAAAATGATTATAATTAGTCGTTAAAGAGCTAAATTCAAGAATTGCAAACCATTACAGCAGTGAACAGTCCCTTGTACAAGAGTCCATTTGGAAAGGAGTCAAGTAAATTTTGTAACAGATTACATAAAAACTCGAGCCATGAATGCACTATGACACACAACAACCCCACTTCTCAGGCGCTCTTTGTCTCATCTGGACAGGACACCGAACCTACTGCTCACTGTTTGGTGGTTCTTGTTTTCCATTAAGTTCTTGATCAACTCTGTTCAATGAGAAACACAGATAATTAAAAATTTACAAGATACGGGCAACTGGAAGACTTCTTTCTTAAAAACAACTACTTTTAGCACAGATTATTTCGTTACATAATCAAAGCTTTGCAAACAAAGCAGATACAATAGAAAGAAAAACAAACACATATTATTTCTCCAAAGAAACAGAATTTTTCTAAGCAACAGTACACTGGCAAGGATACAAACACCACTGTTTATGGCTATAGGATACTTTATGTCATAGCCATAAACATTCTCAGAGCCCATGACTTACATCCACTACAGCAGGAAGTTTAGTGGTAAGACTGTTGAAAGGAATGAACTCTCTCAAAAATGACTGTTAACTGCAATTTAACTATATCACTAAAGTCACCCATGACCAAAACATATTAAAGCCTAGAACTCAAACTGTTTTACAGAATGGTAACTATTTTCTGGAATTCACTGGTACACTGTGTACAAATGCCTTCCATTCAGAAATATCTACAGAACTTACAAAATCTCACTGGATTAATGTTGTGTTGTCCAGAGGTCCTACAAAAATTTAGGAACATGGAGATGAAAAGGTAACACGACAACACTACTAACTCTCTATAGTAATTTGAACAGCTGATCTGGGATGTTTAAGTCACACTAGTAAAAAGCAGGAAGGCACTTTTCACACCTGTTTCCATTCCTACGATCACCCAAGTATCTGTCAATTGTAAAAATACAGTATGTTGGCATCAAAGATTAGATACCTACTCCTGGTAAGGCCTACAATATATGGCCTTTTTTAAAGAAAATATGAACTATTATTAAGAAGTAATTACAGACATTGCTGAAACATGACACATGTCTGGCCACAGACACTAAGTAGCAGAAAGAAACAGGTGAAACATTTAAAAGGACTCTACTTCAATCCTTAGTTCCTGCCAAACACTGGGAACATTCCCATCTCTGGGATTCCACCTAATAGATACCTTACCCACAACCCCAAGTTTTGTTTTAAACAAATTTCTTTATTCAAAGCTAATTGAAGAAAAGTTGTTTCTCAAACCGACCTTTCAATGTTAAAGAAAGTTTTATAAAAATTAAATGCTAAAAGAATATGTGTAATGACCTACTGAGGACCGAACAAAAGCAAAATGGGGGTGGGGGGTGGGGTGGGGTACCCAGGATAAATATATAAATATAAATATACATATATATACACATATACACACACACACACATTTATACACACACACATATTTATATATATATATACACACACACACACACACACACACACACACACATACACATATATATTTTAGCAGAATGAACATAGATTAAGGAGAGGTGAGGAAGTAGAAGGGACTCCAAGGGAGGAATAGTCAAGATAAAAGTAACTTCGACAGGTTCCAAATAATGAAAATGAAATGTTTGTGTTTCAATTTTTATGTGATGCTTGAATTATTTTTGACAGTTGATCAAATACTAAAGCCTTTTTAAAAAGGAATTCCCAGCATACTTCCTCAATAGAAGCAACTCTTTTTTGGACACAGGGTCTCTCTCTGTCTCTGTCATCCTAGCTGTCCTGGAACTCACTCTGTAGACCAGGCTGGTCTCAACTCACAGAGACCTGCCTACCTCTGCCTGCCAAGTACTGGGATTAAAGTCCTTTACCAGCTCCCAACTTAGGCAAATCACTTCAGTCTAGAAGGTAGGTGGCTTCAAGCTACTCTACAATTATTGATGCTATTTGAGTTTGAGCCACTCCTCTGGCATATACACAGCACTGCCTAGAGGGGAAAGCAGAGCCCACTGCCCAAGCCACTGCTTACATGAATCAACTTCGTGAATCTTGGTTAAACTGTAGAGTGCCACACAGACTCTTTTACATGGTTAGCTGAATGCTCACAAAAAGAATCAAAGTACTCAAAATTAAGACTATACCACCAAAGGTTTTAAGTGTTTCTACAGATGGGTAAAGTAATACATGTAAATCTCTCATCTTAATTCTTTAGATCATAGTAAGTGATATTTGCTAATGTTGTTCTTTTTTTTTTAAATAAAATCAGTGGGTTAACATTGGGTGTGCTGGTAGAGAGCTACAACTTCACATTCAAAGATTGAGGCAGAAGACTGGGGGGGGGGGGCAGCCTGGGCTATAGAATAAGAACATCTCTACAACAAAACAAAACCCCAAAACCAATAAATTAGACCCAAGACCTCCACTTTTCTAAACTACCATGTAAGATGGCAAACTATTTTATACTCCACCTTTCATCTTTATGCTAAAACATTAACAAATGAAAGGTTGTTACACTCAAAGCAAAAGAGTTCAAAATTAAAGTGGAAAGCAGAGTGTTTAACTGTTAAATGGTATATCAAATTTTAGGTATTTCATCACATGTAGTTTGACTGGTTAGCAGGCTATTTAATTTAAGCATATAAAGAAAATCAATGTTGGTTAGCCAAAGAGTATATGCACTGTAAATATAACCATCAACCCCAAGGGAATAAGATGTTGTTGGAAAATGTCTGTGTAACTATTTCAAAAGCAAAGTGAGAAACAGTCTTCAAAGGTCTGGGATTTTAAATAGCAATCCCAGTCATTCCCCTGGGTTCAGCATCGTATTCCGACCAGCACAAGAAGAAGGGCTTTGGTTCCTAACAGGCAGTAAGTATGCTCATATTTGGCAGGAGGAGTGTGGGGTTCACTCTGTACTGGGCTCTGGGCAACATTTATATTTACAAGTGCTATTCTCTCTGTTTGCGAGCTAACCAACAGCAGCAGGGTTAGTCTTTGCGATGCAAATGGACTAGTCTAGATGCAACCCAGTCAAGGTGTGCATGTACCTTTTTTGTCTCTTTTTAAACTTTTCTTCTTCATACCTTGGTAGGGAAGAGTTATTTCAGTAAACGCACATTATGAGATTAAAAAAAAAAAAAAAAAGACTGAAAGTGTAAGTTTGCAGGCACAACTACAAATGCTAATATTTAACACGTGATTTAGAAAATTAAAAACTGCCTCAGTAAACTCTGGTTTGGATACACTTAGGCCTTAATCTGAGACCAACAGAGACAGAACACCTTCCCGAACCACAGCACTGTGACGCCAAGTGTTTATGTTGACAGTCTTACCAAGTCCCTTATAAGGCAGGTGGAAGTGAGCTGTGACACAGAAAATTCTAGCCTCCAGAAAATAATTAAAACCAAGTTGATTTAAGCAACAATTCGTTTCTTTAGCAACATGAGTTCTTTCAATAACATGATAAACTCATTCCATCTGGGACAGCAGTATGTCAAGTTGAGAAGATACTCTTCAGGCCTGTTCCTTCAGGAAATTTCTCTCTCCGACTGTATACAGCATTTAACATATGAAGGATTCATGACCAGGCATCACCTCTGGTAATGTAAAAATGTTGATGTATGGGGAAGGTGTGGGCAAAGTTCCTCTACTTCATTGTTACAAACTCCTGTTCTAGAAAGCAGAGAGGAAGGAAAAGCATTCCCCTTGCACAGAAACAAGGACAGAATGAAAGCAGGGTAGGAACGTACTGTTTGATGCACTCTGGTATGCCAACATACTCCATGGGAACAAGCTCCGCGAGTTCTGCCAAATTAAAGACGTATCTAATTTTCTGACTGAATTTTGAACTAGGGAAGAAGACACAAACAATTACCTCAATCTTTCTGACACACAAAACTGACATTTCAATACAAGGAACTTTTTTCTTAAGGGTCCTCAGAAAATTACCTGATAAATGGTCTTGTAACAGCTAAAAGTGTTCGGATAAACCAAGATGGGTGGACAATGATTAGAGACTTCAGGTTTTTGCGTAATCTGGAGATTAAAAAAAAAAAATTATAGAAATTTCTATAAATTATTATACAGAAAGTTAGACATAAAGAAGTATGTACAAGTTTGTACAATATAACTGAAAAAGAAGTCACCAAAATTTTCATTTAGGGATAACACTAATTAATTAATTTATTTATTTTGCTGTAGCACTTCTAAAGATAAGAAAATGTATTTGGGAATTCTAAACATCCCCCCTTATGCTGTGAAATAAACTCTATTTCATTTGGGAAAATTCAGGTCTTAGTCTGCCTGTTTTCAAATGTCTTCTAGCATATCCAGTGGTACCCAGAGCTGTTGAGCAGGTAAAAGCCCATCCCGAATATAAAAGTAAGGTATTCTTTCTTTTGAGTCTGGGGAGAAACTGGCATTTGTTTCTGACATACAAAAAGCACTGACTTGTAAAGAGGACAGAACAGAGATGACCAAGGGAGAGAGCAAAGGAGTCAGACCCAACCACCTTCCAGAGATTTAAAAATACTCACTAAAAGAGTAAAACCTCTTTTTTTTTTTTAGGAATTTCTATATGATTTTTTAAAAATCACAAAGGATAACTAACATGTTTGCATATGAAAGGAAACCTACTAATGGGCCTGAGTAAGCCATCTGAATCAGCTACGACAAAAATCAAACCACTAGCAAAATTAGTTGCTCCACTGGCATGGACAAATGATTCATTCTCAAGACAACACACTTCTAATGTTTGCTCTGAAAAACTATAGCTGGGCTAGTATCTTTAAGAAACTTGAGAGTTAGGAAAATAGCCTCGTAGGTGAAGTGTCTGCTGTGTAAGCATGGGAACCTGGGTCCCATTCCCCAGAACCCAGGTCAAAAAAAGAGCATGGTGCTGCTGGCCTGTAATTTCAGTGCTGGGACTCTGTAGGCACCTAGTTTAGCCTCATCAATGAGCTCCAGGTCTTAGTCAGAACTGTCTAAAAAACAAATTAGACAGTGCCTGAATTGACCTTAGGCTGAGCCCTGGCTTCCAGACAGAACTTGTGCAAAGCAGTACAGGAACACTCTCCAATCTTTCCCAAGATGAATAAGAATGTGTTCCAAATGGAAGAAGAATAGACAGCAACCTTGTGTTTTGAAGATTAAAGTCACTCTTACTTAATAAAGCATGGACTCAAGTTATTCTCCATGACAATATACAATGCCATCCTTAGAAAATGAAAACATTAAGAAATTGATAAGTACAACTGAAGAAATCGATAGAGTATTTTAAAATGGCAACAGAAAGTATACTTTAATAAAACTACTGTCAGAATCTCTCAGCAAGTCTACATCACCGTCTATCAATCTGCTGGTAGCATCTCCTCAGCCATCCCAGACTGGGCATTTTCCTTCGAGTTGTCGCACCATTTAAGTAAATGATCATGTAGTTCTCTGCTACCAACAGCTCTAAAGTGCCAATAACATATCTATAAAAACAAATTAAATACATGTCTTAAATGTCACCATTCAGGACTGAATTAAGCTTCCAAATGAACACAATTCCCATCTTCCCTCTATAATGACAGCAAACACCTGTAGTAGCTGATACAACTGTTTAAAACAAAGTCACAGCAAATCCACACAGACTGAACCACTGTGTGGTCAGGGGAAAGGTGGGAAGGGGTACCACATACATTGCTTTTCTGATCATGCTTCAGGGTGTCGAAGTAAAAAATGAGAAACTACACTAAGCCGAGAAAAAGAGTGACTGTGGAAATAAAGAAACCCTTGTCAGCTCATCATGCTGAGTCTCCAGGGATAGATGTAATTTAGTCATATAAATTTTGAGATGGCCGGTTGCCTTTTCAAACAACATGTTTCCAAATAATGAAGTTGGAACAGATAATCTATTCTACTGGAAAATACAGTTTTATAATGCCAAAGGATAAAGACTTGGGGACTCAGAAACAGGGTAACTTCTATATTTTGTTACTATTGTTGCCTGACTAGGGTATACACATGCCAGGCCAGAGATGTCATGGAGCTGTATCCCTAGTCCTTTTTGATATTTTGAGGCAAGGTCTCATTAAGTTGCCCAAGTTGGCCCAAACCTTGATCTGTATGTAGTTCAGGTGGGCCTCCAACTCCTGATCATTCCCTTACAATCTCCCGAATAGCTGGGGTTATTGTACTATGCTATCAAGCTGGCTTCTCTCTAATTTTTACAAGATTTAGTTCACTAGCATAAACTATAAGTCTATTTAGCTCAGAATTCTGCTCAAACATCTTGTTAATACATACTTACTTAAAGAGATTGTCCATCAGATATCTATAGTTAGGCTGACCACTTTCAGGCATAAAACAGACAGCAAATACAACAATGGCATTTAAACCATCCCCATAATATCCTGAGGAGAAGAAAAAAAAGGTAAAATCTTTGGCACAATTTTTCACTGAAGGATTGTAATTTTTAATTTTGCATGTGTGTGTGAGAGAGAGAGAGAGGAGAGAGAGAGAGACAGAATGAAAGAGAGAAGGAAGAGAGAGAAAGAGAGAGCAGAGCTTTCAGATGAATGAAGATCATAGGGATAACCAAAGGCTGCATCTGGCAAAGTAAATTAAGTGGGAACAATTTCATATGAGAAACAAAAGCCCATCTGGCCAGTGTTGGGACTTGAGGCTATACAACATGTTTTATCCAGAGTGAACTGCATTCTGATAATGAAGATGCTGACAGTATTTGCACAACATCTTGGTACAGTCAGACCAACAGAGTGACAGCTTGCAGTTTCATAGCTTTCTGACTGACTTGCAAATCTTCTAAGGGAATGAACTATTTCTGTGTATCCCATAAATAAGCAAAGCAGGTGCCCCATTCAACATGTGGAATGAACAGTGCTCCACTTAGCTACATGAGTTGTGCATGAAGAAAGTGCAGTCAAAGCTCAAGGGGTGGCTTGTGCCCACACTGCAGCACCCTAGTCACATACCAAACTGAACAACTCACACCTAGCACTGTGGCAGATGCATAGATGCAGTTTATTTAGTCAACCAAATATGCATGATAGAGAATAAAATAGACACACATGGATGAAGCTCAAAAATATGCTGAATGACAAGTAGTATACACGATGTGACTAGTGTCACATGGACTTTCTTAAGAGGCAAGACTGTCTATGGAGCAAATTAGGTGTAGCGGCTTTTAGAGAGGGTGGATCCATGGGAAAGGAGTGTGGAGCTTCCTGAAGAAAGTGAAGTGTTCTATATGAGCTTGGAACATACCTATGTGTGCAAATATGTACATGTTTATGTATATTGAGAGACATACAAGCTTTTTAAGACAGGGTTTCTCTGTGTAACAGCCCTGCCTGTCCTAGAACTCACTTTGTAGGCCAGGCTGGCCTAGAACTCACAGAGATCCTCCCGCTTCTGCTTCCTGAGTGCTAGGACTGAAGGTGTAAGCCACCACACCCAATTGACATACAAGTTTTTGTTGAAACTTATCTAACTATGTATTAAGATAAAGTGTAGGTCGAGCATTGGTGGCATATGCCTTTAGTCCCAGCACTCGGGAGGCAGAGGCAGGCGGATCTCTGAGTTCGAGGCCAGCCTGGTCTCCAGAGCGAGTTCCAGGATAGATTCCAAAGCTACACAGAGAAACCCTGTCTCGAAAAACCAAAAAAAAAAAAAAAAAAAAAAAAAAAAAAAAAAAAAGTGTAAATGCTTGCAAAGGGTTCAAGAAACTAAGTCCTTTTGAGAAGTGAACATATAGGGTCAAAGTATTGTACTTTTAAAACTTACAGTAAACATATAAAAATAATTTTAAAAAGTTATGCAAATATTGGATCCCATGGAACTGGAGTTGCAGATGGCTGTGAGTTACCATGTAGGTGCTAGAAATTGAACTTGGGTTCACTGAAAGAGCAGTCAGTACTCTTACCATTGACCCATCTCTCCAGTCCCTATGTAAGTGATGCTTAATTGAACTTTTATCATTTTACTTCAAGTCTTTCATATTCCTGGGGCTGGAGAGCTGGCTCAGCAGTTAAGAACACTGGCTGCTCTTCTAGAGGACTCAGGGTTGATTCCCAGCATTCACATGGCAGCTCAAAACCATTTCTAACTCCAGTTCCAGGGGATCTGATGCTCTCCTTTTCTGGCCTCTATGAAGACATGAGACACACAAATGGTGGTCTTCAGGCACACATATACGTAAATTATCCATCCACTTAAAAAAAGTTAAAACATGGCAGGACAGTGGTGGCACATGCCTTTAATCCCAGCACTTGGGAGACAGAGGTAGGTGGATCTTTGTGAGTTCCAGGACAGCCAAGGCTACATAGAAAAACCCTGTTTCAAACAAACAAACAAACAAAACCAATAAAAAAACCAACCCCAAAACAAAACAAAAAAACCCAACCCCCCCCCCCAAATAAAACAAAGAACAAAAATCCTTTTACATTCTCAAAATGACTTGAGAAATTTTCACTATTCTTTCAATCTCCAGCAACATTTTCTGACAGCCTTTAGATTTTGGACACTGCATCTAAAGATTCTGAGCATCCTTCTAACCCTTACCTCCATGGCTAATAACTTTTTTGTAGGGTTCGATTGCCTTCATATCCACCCTGTGGTCCTGTTCTCCAATCCTGAACATGCGCCAGCGGCGTCCATCCTCCTTTTCTTCTGTGGCTGTGTATTCAGTAACTGAGTCTTTCCTAATGACTTCAGTAGTTTTGGGTTTGGGAAGATCATCTGTTAAAATAAAAGTCTTTTGAATCACAAACTGTTATTTACAAAATAAAAATCAAAAGTGTATGTTAACCACTTTACTATCTAGATTATTCCAAGTTTTTCTGTTTTCTTATGGGTGTTCTGCTATGCTCCCCAACCCAGCCTCACACTCATGGGCTCAGGTGATTCTGCCTCAGTCTCCCAGTATCTGGGAGAACAGGTGAACACCACCACATCCAACTATTTACAAAGAATTTTCAGTACACCAGCTGAAATTATCATCCACATAACAAGAAAAGGTTTGTTCTTACTTAAGTCCAATTTATGTCTCTAAAATCAGTTTACCAGAACTTTCTATTGTCCAATTCAACAAAGCACCAAGTTATAGTGCATCATTTACAACAGGCTTAGGGAAGATAGAGCCATCGAGGTCTTACTATGTACGCTGGCCTCATATGCCTTCTCAGATCCCATTCAGGACAACAGTGTCCATTAGAGTTACTAACACCTTACTTCAAGTAACCATCAGAGAGCCAATTGTTTTATAGCACCTACATTAATTATAAAACACTGTAATAAAAGATAGAAAGTGGTTAACTCCTCAGTGATCATTTTCCGTTTGATCAGTTTTATAAAGCAGATATGTACTTTTCTGAAGAACACATGCAAAAATTTACATAAATTAACACTAGCCAAAGCACCAATGATTACATACAATTTGTATTTGCAGATTGCAGTTTAGTTGATTGAAAATGAAGTAATGATTTTCAAAACTTTAGTATGATAGTCCTTACCAAAAGATGGGGGAGGGGAAACCTACTGCATGTTAGTTGTTTCCAAGACAAAGCTGTTAACGGAAAATATCCTTCCAGGCAATGACTACAGCAGCATTAAGGAGAGAAGAGACAAAACACACAGGCAGAAAACTATTTCAGTGTCTGGATAAAAGACTGCTTCTTACTGGGCTGCTTACTGAACCAGTAAAACACAGAAGAAAAAAAAAGCTTCAGAGTATCACTCATTACCTATAAAGTGTCTACTGCTTTAAGTACAGTTTTGATGCAAAATTCACTTTAAAGATGAAACAAAAGGTTATTAACATTTGTCTAGCTATTATAATCAACTACTGCTTAATTCTAGAAAGCACACAAAACAAAACACACAGCAATGCCTCTGAACACAAAGTAATTAGAATGATAACATCTGATGGGGGCTGAGCACATACTACTTCAAGGAAGCAGTTTATAAGTGCAGCAGTCCTCAGCAACTCTCCTGCCAATCCTTATGTATGTATTACTATTACAATTATTATTGACAGGATCTATGCAGTCCTGGCTGTCCCTGAACTCGCTATGTAAACCAGGCTGGCCTGGAACTCAGAGACCCTTCTGCCTCTGGAGTGCTGGGATTAAAGGGATGCACCACCACGCCCAGCCCCTTAGGTGTTTTTTAGTACAGTCCTTATATGTCTCTTTAGAGGACTTTTTTCCTGACAAGAATATAATGGAATATTAGGCAATACTTTTGAAGCAACTATGAAAAAACAAACTTTACAATATTGGGCAAGTAAGGAAAAACAATACTAAACTAAATGAAAGCTACCTGCATAAGCTATAGTCTTGAAAACTTCAAGTATTTTCAGAATCTTCTACTTTTAGTAACAAACTTAGGAACTGTAGAAAAAATAACATATTTCAAACAAAAACCTTCAATGGATTTTAGCAGGTTTCACATTTAAGATTTGGCCATATACTACTTTTCCTAAAGAGAACACTATGGTAAACATTGTGTAATATAAACATCCATTCACAAAGCTCATATAAAAGTAGTGAATTACCTTCCCACTCAAATTCATCACTGTTCTCTGATGGGGTGTCCAAGCCTTCCAGGTCAACCTCTCCACCTTCATCCAAATCATCCGACCACACAGAGTCTTCACTAGGATCCAGGGTCAGGCTGATGTCTGGAGCCATTAGTTTCTTACGCACTTTATTTCCATTAACTTCTAATGAGCCTGAAATTGGAAAACAAGGAAGAAGCCTGGATTGCTCAGATGCCCCCAGTTGAAAGAGAAACATTTTAGTCACTTCATTCTTGAGAAAGCATTTTCAAGAAAATCCCAAGGCATTAATTCGTAAAACTTGGTTATGACCACTGCTGCTGCTTTTTAAAAAAGATATATTTTCATTTTATGCGTATGGTTGTTTTGCCTGCATGTATGTCTGTGTACCACATATGTGTAGTGCCTGAGGAAGCCAGAAGAGTTCATCAGATCCCCCAAAACTGCAGTTATGGATGGCTGTGAGCTGCAATGTAGGTGTTGGGAATTGAACCCAGGTTCTATGCAGGAGCAGAAAGTGTTCTTAACTGCTAGGACATCTCTCTAGACCCATATTTTTATTTCTAAACATGTACATGTGCGTGTATGCGTGTATGTGCACACAAGTGCAGTGCTGGCAGAGTCCAGGAGAGGGCACTATACCCAAGGAACTAGTTATAAGCATTGTGAGATGTCTGAGGTGGACTTTGAGAATTGCACTCCCTCTTCTTAAAAAGAATTATTTACTATTGCTTCTTTGGCAAGAAATCAAGAATCTATCAATGTCCTTTTTTAAACAACAGAGGCAGATTTCATAGTCAGTTATTAATATGGTCTCTTTCACTCTTTATAAAATTTTCCAAAACTAAAGGTGTATTTTTTTATGAAGTTGAATTTCTTAAGGATTTTCCAAAAATCTGCCCTTTGGCTTCCTCTATCAGAATGAAAGTTCAATGGGTTTTGTTTTGCTTTCCTCTCTACAAAGAAATGTGTTCAAAAGTAACACAAACTTCACTGAAAGTTTTCAGTTCTTACCAGGTTGGCTGTCTGGACCAGTTACATCTAGTATATCTGCTTCAATACTGTCATCTTCTGGTAAAGGTCTAGACGACAAAGACACATTCTTTAACCCAGAAATTAAAAACAATTCTTTTGAAGCTCAAAGATCCATTAAAAATATCACTTAGTTATAAGGACTAAAGCTGTGTTTAAGCCCTACAAATCCGTTTGTATTCCTGTGTATGATGTCAGAAGATAATCTCAGATGTTCCTCAGGTGCTGTCCACTGTTTGAGACAGCATCTCTCACTGGTCTGGGATGGATCAAATAGCCCAGGCTGGCTGGCCAGTGTACTCTGGGGATCTGGTCTCCATCTCCCCGGGGCTGGGGTTATAAGTGGACACCACTATGCCTGGCACTCCATTCACTCTTGTAGACACCTGATATCCCATCCCTCTGTAAGCCCAAGACCTCAGCTTAAAGCAGTCTGCTAAAAATCTTTAGTTGAAGATATGAAAGATCACCAGTCACACAGTTGGAAAATTAACTTTCACTTTCTAGAATCCAGCAATCACTTGTAACCTTTTTAAAGAAGCTCAACATATATGAGCTGACAGTTCAATGAAGTAATTCTTAAGCTTTGTTCCAAATCCATTTTAACAAAAAGTACTGCTCACATTGGAAAATCTTCATCCTGCCATTCTTCTTTGAGCTCCACACCTTCCATCCTCAGCCTGGATTCAATGTCAACTTCCAGTTCCTGGCAGTCCAGGCAGCCGAGGTCCTGGGAGGGAAAGATGGACAAGAGCTCCATTTCCAGTTTACTCTTCATCTGCAGCAAAGGGGCAACAACCCCACCCAAGCTCCCATTCCCCACTCCAGCAGCTGCAGAGGTATTAGTTCAGTGAAACTTGACCCTTATTATTATTTATCTCACATAAATAAATATTTTCTCTCCACAGAATCATAACTAAGCCTTACATCTTAGTTCTGGACATAAGGGTGATTCTAGAAACCACATTAGTAACTTACAAGCACACGAATGCTCACCAGGTCCCAGTGCTATGCGGTGTTTACAGCTCCTCCTCTCCATTCCTGAATCACTTAGAGGCTACCCAGGAGCTTGTCCAGCAATGCACTAATTTCTAATGTGTTTCCCATTTGTATCATGCCTCTCTCACAGAGCTCAGCACTCAAATTAGTGATGCTTTCATATTTACAACTATACTTTTCAACTTAAGCCCCAAAGTTTAATTTTATTTTTGTAGGAAACTATAAGAATTCTCAGTAAGATGGCACACTGACTCACCTTCTGTCTGACAGAATACAGCATTTGAAATACAGTGTAAGTCATGAAGAAGAGTTGGAGAGATGATTCAGTGGCCAGTTCCCAGCACCCACAAGATGGCTCACAACTACTTGAGACCCCAGTTTCAGGGGCATCACACAACCACTTCTGACCTTTGATAGTGCTGCATGCACACGGTGCACAGATATGCAGACAAAACACTCACACATAAAATAAAAAACAAATCTTAAAAAGAGGTCATGATGATCAGCTGGTAAAAAGTACAACAGAAACAGCTGACAAATACTGAAGCAAGAAGTATCATTGAGATTCAACTCATTTACATTACAACAATCAATGGAACAAGTTACTGCAGGCTGCACTAAACCACACTTCTGTTTCTATCTTCTTGCCCTTTAGTCTAGGCTGTCTTCAAACTTGTGATCTTGCTATTCCAACCTCCCGAGTTCTGGAACTACAGGCATGGGCCATGATGCCTAGCTTCACATTTTTAAGAGTCACACAGTAATAACAACGAAGTAGTAGTAGTTCCAAGTGGTTGACACAGAGAAGAAAGGGTGGTACGCCTATATAGCACACCCACACACTTCCATACTACTTGATTTTAAAAAAACTGCAGAGCATGGTAGCTCACACCTTTAATTCCAGCATTTAGGAGGCAGAGGCAGGTGAATCTCTAAGAGTTCAAGGTCAGCATGGTCTACAAAGCAAGTTCCAGGACAGAGAAACCCTATTTTGAAAAACAAAACCCAAACCAAACCAAACAAACAAACAAACAAAACCCACCTTCCTAAATAAAATAAATGATGAGAACCATTAACATGCATATCAAATGATATTCTAAAAACAAACTACAAGGGACATTAAATTCTCTGAAGTGTTAAGTTTCATATAGCAAATTAAACCATTCCTCTAATAACTAGAGGTCTCTATCTCCCAGTTTGAGTACTTATACTTGGGAAGGTCTCAAAGGACGTACATTTTTATAAATCTATTTATTAGCATGGGGGGGTAATATGCTAACTTTCTGTCACTGAACTACTCAGTGGGTAAAGAACCAGAATAGTTCCCATGGTCTTGTCCTACCTTTCTACTGGGTATGGGGAGGGGGAGGATCAGAGTATTCTGTATGTCTTTCTTAAATAACAAGAAAAAAAGTCTCAGAAATAACAGCAGAGACTGACAATTGCAATGGACATATCCTTAGTCTTAGTACAATGCTCAGCACATTTTAGATTTAACAGTGAAGGCACACCATTATTGGGCAAGTTCTTAAGCTTATATTGCTTTCTGAACTATATAAATAGGATTCCTGTTATGAGTTCCCCCTTAAAAATGTCATGAAAAATACTACAAGAACATAAATACATGCAATATAAGTCACTGTTGGTGAAATTATTCTTTATTTGCTGAAAGAAATATTTTGTCTGTGAAATGCCTCTTAACTGCCTTCATTACTTGAGAAATAATTCGTTCAAAATTGTTATGGAGGCTGAGGTTAGCAATCCCAGTGCTCTGGGGCCTACAAGAGGATTAAGGTTGAATGGGAGACTAGCCTGGGCTATATAGCAAGACCCTGCCTTAAATAGAAACAACAACAAAGGAGCTCTTTTACATACACACAGGCTTGTAACCCCCTGGCTATCTCAGAGGCTGAGGCAGGAAGACTGCATGTTCAAGGCCACCTCGAACCTCTGAGTTAGACCCTGTGTCCAAATAAACTAGAAAGGTAGGGCTGGGGCTGTAGCTCAGACACTACTTGCTCAGTAATGGGGCCCTGAATTCAATTCTCAGCACCACAAACAACACAGAAAGCCCAGGTCCTTCAGCCCTTGTAGCTCACCTCCTCAATTGTTACTCTAATGTCCTCCATCATGTGATGTTCATACATCTCTATACATTGGCATGGGTTTTTAGTTATGGGGACAGTTATCTAGGCTAGTTAAACAAAGGGGACAGAGAGAAATAGAGGTTCACTCCCCCATTTCATCAAGAACTTTGGGGGCAGCACACTAGGTAGATTAAAAACAAAGTCAACAATCGAGCTCTGTTCTTGGAAGCACTTTATCACCAGGCAGCTGTAGGAACAGGAAATAACAAGAAAGGAGCTGAAATAAGTACAACTGCTCTGGAGGGAATCCGGATGCCTCTGACTCACCAGCTTGTTGCAATTTCCCAGTTTTGCCTTTAGAACTTTAAAATGTTACAATAGGGAAATAGCGCTTCGATACATTATTTGTCAAAATAACGTACTTTCACAGAAATAATTTGACGTCTTGATAGCTTGGTGGCACACCTTTCTGCCAGTATCTGTGGCAGTCATAATGAAATCAACAGCCTTTGACCCCAGTCAGGTTAAAAAATCAAAGACCATGGATTCCTCCATACACAACTTAAGAGGGGAGGTGTGAACCCAACCAAGATGGGGAGGGAAAAAGCCATAAGCAGTTTAGGAAGAAGAGCAAAATTAAGTATTAGGATCCTATTTTGACCTACCTAGGCTGTGACTGACAGTTCTCCAAGGTAACTTTACCATCATGTAGTTTAAGCACTGCTGCTAGAAATAGGTGTATGCTGAAACCAAACACGGGTGGCAGAAGGCCAGCACCGACACAGAAGGTTTGCTTTATTTATTTTCATCTATTATGAACAAAAGCCTATATGCCCATGAAGATCAACAAAAATCCCCAGAAACATCCTCCATACTTGCTTGTGGTTTTCTCTGTCCACTTTGTTTTGAGACATCGTCTCTCTTCTGTTCTCTTTGATCACTCCATGCTCCTACCTAGCTGGCCATGAGCTTCAAGGACAGTCTCTTTTTTTCTCCTCCCATCTTGCCACGGAACTGCTGGAGGTATAGCTGGCTTTTTATGAGGATTCCAGAGGTCAAACTCAGGGGTTCAGGTTTTCCAGGCAAGTGACTTTATTGGCTGAACCATCTCCCCTACTACCATCATGTAGGGTTTTCAAGAATGAAATGAAATGCTTCTACAAACATTCTCTCTCTGTCTCTGTCTCTGTCTCTGTCTCTGTCTCTCTCTCTCTCTCTCTCTCTCTCTCTCTCTCTCTCTCACACACACACACACACATACACTCAACAAATTAGAATGGTGCTAACTTCTCTCAAAATTGTGAAAACATAGATAGCATAGGATAAACATATCTATAAGAATACAGTTACTAAATTATCAGTATGCAGAAGGTATTGGAGATGTGTTGACACCTATAAGTAGATTAAGCCCTAATACCTGATCTCCAACAGTCTGTTAGTGTTTTAAACTGGTTGTAATGTAAAGTTAGGACTATCTGTAATATGTCTTGCTTCATAGATGTCAGCCTACCTAAAGACCTGATTAAACCAAGCCAAAGCCACGCTTGGGTCTGAAGAGACATAATTGTTTTCATCACTCTTACCAGCATCACTCCAAACAGAACAAACAGAACCACTGCCCAAAAGAGTATTTCACCTTTACTAACTATTTTTATACACTTTAGTAACTGATTAGTTCATGTTTCAACCGACCAACAGATGTGAGAGACAGAATTTGATGTTATTTTTCCCTTTATCTTAGACAACAAGGCAAAAGACAAACACCACATCTGATTCCTAGGTCTACAGAAGAACTGTATGCCTGTCTCCAGTTCATTACCAATTCTACACACAGGTCTTTAAAACCAGATTTGGTTATACTTAGTGTGAAATGTACTGTAATGCCTAAAGATGTAACTATGCTGATTTGTGGTAATTAGTTCCTATTCCATGCACACACATATCAGACTTCCTAGTTTAACAATACCAAGCTTAGCTAGAAAAGACTTGAAGACTAAGAATAGCATTTAGAAAAAAAAAAAAAACCAAAATGATAAGAACATTTAGAAAAAAAAAAACCAAAATGATAAGAACATTTAGAAAAAAAAAAACCAAAATGATAAGAACCAAGTAAAAAATGTTAGAGGTAACGAAGCACTGGTAACTTCGAGTATGAATAACTTAACTAGATAACGTCAATTCTAACTTTGAAAAAACATTCATTCATAAGTTAAGAAGCCTGGCTCAGTGGTTAAGCATTCTCTCTGCTTTTCAGAGGACCTATTTCAGTTCCCACCACCCACAGCTGTCGGTTCAGAACAGCCTATAACACCAGTTCCAGGAGGTTCTGATGCCCTCTGCAGTCGACCACACCATGTGACACAGAAAAAAAAAAATCTTTGAGGAAAAAAGTTTTTTACAATTGCAGAAGGGTTCTTATAAATCGTAAGATAAAGCGCGTTTCATTCAAGGTGGGACTTCAAGAATAAGGGAAAAGATTCCAAATAAAGAAAAACTGAGGCTAAAGAAAGCAACACTTAAGAAATACAATCGCAGATGGACGGCACTAGAACTACTTTATGTCAAACACTGTAAAAGCTGTGTCCTCAAAGAGTTCCCAGGACAAAGAAGTTTCAAAGCAATAAAGATCCAAATAAGTTTCTGC